TTGTGAAGTACCTCTGGACCTGCATTTGCCACCAGCAAGATTGGCCAGGATGTTCTCGAATAGGTCTCCAAATTATTGGAGGTGTGGACACAAACAAGGGACATTCTACCACATGTGGTGGACTTGTCCTAAGATTAGGAAATTTTGGGACAAGATTAAAAAATGGCTGGATGAAATAACAGGGCAGAAGATAGAAAGAAAGCCGGAACTGTTTCTCCTGGGTATTCTGGAAGGGAAAATGCAGAAAAGTATACATATTACACATACTAACAGCAAGTAGAATTGTGATAGCACAAAATTAGAAACAATCAGACACCCCTCCAGATCAAATCATAATAAAAAAAAATATACGAATGTGCAGAGATGGACAGATTATCTATGGAAATGAAGGAGAGGGAAGACACCAAGTACTATTTAATATGGAATAAATGGTATTCCTGGCTGGAGAGTAATCATAAAACTTAAGGGATGTTTTTGTTATGAGATCAAATTGTAAATAGAAGTCAAGATAATTTAGATAAAGATGTAAGTTTAAGATACAGATATTTAGAAGTATAATTTGTGTAAAGAGGTTAAATAGGCTAGAGATACCGATGCAGAAAAGTTGTTACTAGTATTGAAATTTTGATATGTTTGTTTTTGGTTGTTTATATTTTTTGTTTATTTGTGTGTGTGTGTGTATTTCTTGCTTTTTTTGTGTATTATGTTTCTTTTTGTACTGTGTATTTTAATCTTTGGAAATTTAATAAATATTATTTAAAAAAAAGAAGAATTCCAAAGTACAAATTGTAGCGATGTAGAAGAACTATTTTATTTTTCTTTTCTGGTTTCCTTCAGAAGACTCCAAAGCAGGTTTGTGTGGAAATGGGGAGCCCGCAAAAGTATATTGCAAAATATACTTCCCCACACCCCACATGGCGCTCATTAAGGAAGCAGATCATTCTATACCTTTCAAAGGATGCCCAGCATTCAGCCCCCACTTTCATAACACACTTAGGTCCAACCTTGGCTCACTCCTTGCCCTGTGGCCGTGCTCCATCCATCTTCCTTCTGCACCCCAGACAGTCCCACCAGATGTCCTGGAGGCCCAGGGAGGCAGCGACGGATGGCTCTGGTGCTCTGACTAGCCGAGTGGGGTGTAAAGCCCTCATTAGCTTTAAACATAAACCGCTCATTGCCTTTGACTCAGAGGGAGCACGCCTCCGCCACTGGGTACAGCTCAGCCGGTTCCCAAGGAGACGCTTTGCAGCAGTCAATCTAAGGCGTAGTGAACAAGCAGGGGCATTTTCAGCCAGTACTGAGGGCAAAAGCAGCTGCCGAAGGCGCCTGAAGATGCTGCCCTGAATTTTGGTTTCCTTTGATTGTGCCTTTTCGACCTTTAATGTGCTTGACTCATTACTCACCGCATTACTCATTCTCTTGGACAGGCCGTTTCTCAATTCAAACGCCCTAAGAGAAAAGACCTCTAACTTCGCCCGTCCAGCCCTCTCAGGCAAGACACTCCACCTGCCACAATGCGGGGAATCTTCTGCAAGGGCCCCTTTGCTTTGGGGAGGGGGGGCAGCAGCACAGCCTGAGTTGCAGCTCTGGGAACCAGCATGGCCAACTTCTGACACCCACTCTGAGCCTGGGAAGAGGAGGCAGCTCTGCACCCTGTGGCCACCCAGTCCCTCTTTTAGGTCACCCCCTGGATGCCCAGAGCAAAGCAGCTCCCATGCCCAGGATGTCCCCAGGCCCAACCTGTTTGCAGGACGGAGTCAGCATTTGGAATCGATTCATCCATGTGGAAGAACCAAAAGCCAGAAATGGGGGGGAGGGGGAGGGGGAGGGGTTGGTCAAGATCTGGCACCAAGGAGCATTTTTTTCTGCAGCCTGGCCATCTGAAGCAGCTAAAAAGCAACTCCTCATGCCTAGCCCCCAGCTTCATTTCCTCTCCATAAAACAGGGACAAGTGGGGTCCTCACCCCCTTTATAATGAATTTTATTCTTTTTTTTTAAAGTAGAGGCTCTGTGTCAATCAAGCCTCCATAAGCTTGCAAAAACAAGGCTGTGAGCAGATGTGAAGCTCTGAAACGTCCCACCAATTGATGCAGGATCTTCTACTGGAATCCCAGCCATCTTCCTGGGCCCCAGGAAATGGAGGGAGGCCTGTCTTCAAAGCAGCTGGGAAGTGACCAAGTCGAGGGCAGAAGAAAAGCCAGAGTCACCTAGCTGGTTTGGACAGACACTGTCTGTAGGAGTGTCCTTTCTTGCTTTGGACCCCAGGAGAGGGCAGCTGAATAAAGCAGCACCCTGCAGATTCCAGCTTGTTCTCAGAGAAAGCTGATCAGCAGCCCCACATTTTGCCTGTGGGGTGGAACCCCAGCCGTCCCCCTTGGATTGCATGATGGAAGAGAAGCAGATGAGAAAAAAAGACACCTGGCTTTGACTGGTTTCCTTCAGCAAAATGGTCCAATCTATTATGTGGGGAGACACTTTTCCAAAGAGGTCAAATCCCTTTTTTCCCAGGGGAAGCCAGGATCAGGGCAAAAGAGGAAAGAAGGTGAGGCCACCTCTCTCCTCCTGCCCAGTCTCCAGCTTCCTGGGTGGCTGGAGGGAAGGGGTTGAGACTTTTAAATAAGGCTGCATCTTCAGAGGATAGAAATAGCATCAAGCACACGAAACCGAGGCCACAGGCTGGCGGGAGCCAGGGTCCGCCAATGCCACCTCTCTCCCTGATCTTGCATGGCTGGCAGAAAGAGTGTTCTGCATGGTACAAAGGAGAGAACACATGCGTGGCCACATCCTGAAGCATTCCTGGGAAGGGCCGATGTGTTTCCTCCACTGCTATCTTTTCCATCCCTGCTCCTGTCCAGTCCAATGCTTGTTCTGGTGAAAAAGCGGCAGCAACAAAATTCAAACTCCAAGGCTGTTTCAGAAAAGGGTTTAGAAAGCTGTGCACACATCTCCTGTTAATAATCCAGCTTCTCAAGCATCTATTATTCAAAAAGCTGCACAGCTCATCTTTAAGAGATGTCTGAATCTATGGTATGTCTGATAGATCTCACCTCCTTCCCCCTTCCTCCTTCTGTCCCCCCAGATAGACGTTGTCTATTGATCTGAAGGTCTCTATCTGCTCTTCAATGCCAGGGTAACTCACAGCAAGAAAAAAAAAGCGGGGGGGGGGAATATGGAAAGACAAGGTTTGAGAGGCTAACAGGCAACCACAACAATTGGCAGACAGACACACAGATACACCAACAACAAATAATACAGCTGAGATCCCCCTTTAATCTATTCCTCACTGTAGTGACCCAAGGAGAAGAGGGTTGGAAAGCAGGCTATGGTTAGAAAAGGTTCTTTAATGCTGTAGCCAAAGTTTTTAAAAACCTCCAGTGGCCCTGAACTCCTTCCTTCTGTTTGAGCCCTTTATTTCCACTCAGGATGTTAAAGGCTTTAAAGAAACTGCCTGCTAAGATGCACTAAAGGGCCTCTCTTCTTCATCAGCATTTCTCCCCTCAACAGAGCCTCCTTCGGTAGAGATCTCCCTCAGCATGGAGGAGGAGGGCAAAAAATGCTTCCGTGGACCTAGGGAAGGCTAGCAGCATGATTTTAACCCACAGTGTGGCGTCCAATCCTTGAGTGGGCTGGGGAGGACAATTTCCCATGGGGTACTTCCTCAGGCTAATTCCCCTGAAACTTGTGGCTTTCAAGGCCATGAAATAAGCCCCAATTTCTTCCGCCTGTCTTCTCCCAAATACCAGTCACTGTTGACTGCACATTCTTTTCCAATGACACTTCAAGCAAAACATCACAAGCCATGCTCTTCCTTCCTACAAAGTTTGTGTGTTGCAGACCAACCACATCAGCAATTTCATGATGGTTTTAAAGAGGCTCCTGAGTATCAAGGGACACCCGTATTTACAGGTGGGTTAAATGCTGCCACTTTTGGCCCCTGGTTTCGGTGAAGCCTGGAGATGACAGTGTTCCCTTTTCCAAAGCACTAAAGGAGGAAAGAGACTCTAACCCCGTAAGTCCCAAACTGTACACCACGGCACTTCAGCAAAGTCTCAGAGACACAGCTAGGTATTTTAAATTTTAAACTTTTGAGGGAAACATTTATTTTAATCTATTTTTGGGTTTGTTCTACCATAAAACTATTGATGCCATTTAATACATTTAGGTAAGTGTCAGGATATTGCAAAATCTGTATCAATGAAATTGTATTTGTTGAGAATCTTTTTGGCTGGAAAGATATGGTGGGTTTTGTGTTTGCTAAGATTGGCTGTCTCTTCATTGTCAACGCAAAATGAAAGCCCATCAGAAAGGATTAGCTTCAGCTTTTAAACATTTTTAAAATGTCAAAGAGGTCACAACGGATCCATTTCCTTATCCAGCATATTTACTTGATGAAATTTGTGGTAACACTGCATTTCTACTTTTCATGTGAGTTGGCCTTAGAGCTGGACATTGATCCCAGGCTAATGAGAGCAGACAAGGGCATGATGGGGTGGGCAGGCTTGGCATCAGCCACAGTTGTGGCAGATATGTGTCAGGCATGTGGGAGGTTCACAAAGAGCACTAATTGGGGGGGGTGCGTGCGTGTGTGCAGAAAATCTATTAGAGGTTCCACCAACATTACTCATTTAGTTCAAATCACTGTGCAGTCAAATGGCTGTTTTATATCCAGTACTTCCCTGCATCCCATTGGATGCAAATAAGTTCCTATTACTCTGCCAGAAAAAATAAGAAAAAAAGGACCAAATATTTGGCTTGACCTTTTGGAAACATCAGAATAACTTGGTAAAGAGCCACCGCAGGTCCAGATGCACAAAGGACAAAAAGGATTACCAGTCTAGATCTGGTAATATCTAAATAATATCTTTGCTAAGAGACTGTTCTAAGTGTACAGGTAACTTCGGCCACCGTGGATGTGGGGGAAGTAAGAAAGCTTGTTTGAGGGCTCCTGCGTCCCACTAAATCTCTTTCTAACCTGTGATGTGGAGAGAAAGGTCAGTTCAACTGTCATTTCCCTTTAACAGATGCTCAGAGACTCTGCTGGGAGGCACAGCCTGCAAAAGCAGAAGGAGAATCCGTTTCCTGCATCCACTCGATTGATCATAAACTCCCATCTTCTGCACAGTGAGCCAGGAGGGGCCAAGCCAGACCCCTCCTCTGAACGAAAGCCCTTCTCTTCTCATGCAGGATGAAAGGTGGGACAGTGCTGTATTAGCCATAAGACGGTCTGTCTGGGAATGCAGCTGTGGATGTCACTGAGCAACTGACTCCTGTCTCCAGGAGAATTTGAAAAACAGGCACAATTAAGAGAAAATAAGAGGGAATGGGCAAGGGGAAGCATTCATTTCTCTTTCTTAGCCAACAGACAAACAACACAAGTGGACACAATTGTCCAATAGCACTGTGAATGGACAAAGTGCATTCCCACAATGATCCAAGACAGTGGGGCACTCATCCCTCGTTCTCGCAGAGAAGCTGTTCTTTGCTCACTGTAATGTGAAATAACCCGCCCTGATTTAAGGAAATTAAGGGATCAACCCTGCCGCCAACCAGAGACAGTTTCTCCCAGCCAATCTCTAATCCTAGCCTGGCAGGCCTCTAGCAGAAAAGCCCTGGCTGGGGCAACTTGGATCTTGTACAAGTCTGCTTTGTCTACCTCAAGCCTGCTTTGCTAGGATCTGCTCCCTCGGGAGGGGGCCCTGCGGAGCCACTGGGCAACTGTTTGGGGCCCGGGCCAAGCACCAAAGGCGAAACCAAGCGGGGGGCCCTCTCCAAGGGATTGGCTGCTTGCAAAGCCACTTGAAGAAGAAGTCATATAAAACACCCGAGGTGGTAGTAAAATTCTAGAAAAACAAACTGGCAGAGAAGTAAATTTGTCGCTACTAATTTAATGTAATAATTTCCCTAAAAAGATGATGATGTGCACTTAGGGAATACACTTCTAGGCTTACATCACATGCTCATGGGAATTTTGCCAAAGAACATATTTTTTAAAATGTATGTTTTGTCTGACACCATCATTGAAGCTGAAAAAGGACCAAATATTTGGCTTGATCTTTTGGAAACATCCAAATCACTAGTTTCAAAATCATTGAAAGGAGGCCCCTGTGATGAGGCTGAGGGACGAGAACAAAAGCCTCTGCTCTGGGGGGGGGGGGGGGGAGACCAAGATCACACAACCTGAGAATTATGGACTCCAATCATTTACCATATAAAACAGCTTCATGTGATACTTCTATTGCTTAAAGGCAGCTGAATTTCAGTGCTCCCAAACCGCATCTTCGTTTCTTGCTAAAGATGCTGCTCAGATGGTGTTTCATTGCATCCATCCAACGAGGAGTAAATCATGGATAAAGTGTTGACTTTTTTTCTTCATTAATGTGATTTCTTTAAGCTTATGTTCACAAATGTCTCACTGCTGCATAGGTCTAGGGAATGCATAGCTACCTTTATCAATTATTGCATGCTGCCTCCCACTACCACTAGTGCTATTACTACCACTACTACCATACGTAGTAAAAGTAATGGTAATAATAATACTCTAGAAAGTAATTGAGATGGAGGGAAGAGAGGGAAATTATGGTGTTCATCCCACAAAAACATTGCTTTCTTTCAGCTATTGTATTTTTTATGTTATCCTGCAACTGAGGCATTAGGAACTATAAATCACTATTTTACTGCAGGTGTCCCAAGCTTAATGGGGGAGGGAGGGAGACAAAATAAGGCGCTTTTCCCAGGCAATGAAAGAGTTTCCAACTGGATAAGGAAGAAAGAATGAATTGATAGGAAAAACAGAATTGCACACCACTGATCATTCTTTTATACAAAATTGACAGATTGAAATAAAATCAGCAGCTGGTATGTAATCCGTTCCCAAATGCGGCTGCTGAGTTCGTGGGGGTGGGGTGGGGGTGGCTTCTTCAAAAGGTGTGTGTGTGTGTGTGTGTGTGATGCTCCTGGAGAAAAGCTTGATCCAATTTAGCAGAAGGTCAGACTCAAAGGGCTGCATCTGCAAACATAGCTGCTTTAGCTCAGCTGAGCGAAGGCCGTTTGCTATTGCTTGCCTTGTGCATCGCCCCCCCCCCCCCCAACTTTTTTTTTTCCTTGTGGAAAAGGGCAGGCGGGCTCGGGGCTCCTGCACCCTTTTTCTCCAAACTACCCCCCCTCCCTGGGGGAGGGGGGGCAGCTGTAAAGGAAACGCCTTTGCTTCTACCTTTCTGGGATCTTCAGTCCTGGTACCAGTTGCTCACTGACCCAACTCAGGGGGAGAGGATGAGTGTTTTGGACGCAGCCCTTGGCAATATCATCCCTGCTTATTTTACAAAGATTTAATTCAAATGGGGAATGACTTTGAAGAAGAAGCAGCTGAGAAAAATCAGATCTTTGTTTGTTTATTACCAATTTGTTGAAATTCAGCAAAAATGCAAACCAGTCCAGAAAGGCAAATCAAGTTAGGAAAAGGACAGCAAGAGCTGGTAGTAGCACACATCTAGGACCTGGTTTCACATGTTTCTTCACGTGTTCAGAAGAAAGCTTTCCTTCTGATCCACATTTTTAATCTGTGATTAATGAAATGTTTGATAAATAAAACCAACAAATCTTTCACAACCTCTTAACAAACAGAAGATGTGCCCAGTTTTTATGATCAGACCTAAGATTTGAAAAGTACGCAAACATTCAAAGCTGGATAAACTGATGTAACTTTATTACATAATACTGGAGGGAATTAGTTAACTGCTTCATTTTCCTCTTTCTGCTGTGTGAAACCGGAAGCTATTTGCTTTCATTTCTTTAGCAGGGAAGAAAAAAGATGAAATTTATAAATCAGCCCTTTTTCAAGGAGGGAGTTTTAACCATAAACAACTGACATACGATCCCTATTGTAATGCTTTATCCTTTCAAAGTGCACAGTAGGAAATAGGCCACAGTTGAGAAGGAAATTAAGGAGACATTAAAATAATTTCTGCAGCCCCCCCCCTCTCAACACATCTGGGCCCTCAAGACTCCCATTCCCATGAAAGCCCTCCCTGCCTCCTCACAGCCAGCACCCTAACTTGCCTGTGCCAGGGCTTGCCTTCAGGGAAGTGCAAGGTGCAAAAGGACATTCATCCTGCAGGGGGGAGTCAGTTTCACCCAGGGGAGGACCAGCTATTCTTCTGCCCCTGACTGGCCACCCTCCTCTTCCTGCACAGCAGGAGGTCAAGGGAGGACAGGGGTCCCAAAGCCCAACAAGCATTTTTTCACTAAGGTGGCTTGTGTAGGCCGATGTGGCCGATCTTGCAGACACCTGGAGACTGTATGTGCAGTCCTGCGGCTGCAGAGCTGTCCAGCAGCAGAAGGTGGCTAGCTACTGCTTTCCTGACTCTGACAAAGCTCGACTTTCGTACAACAACAAGGAAGCTACAAGGTACGCCTTTGTCCGGATCGTATAAGAGGGAACTCACTGGGTGAATTTTTAACAAGCAATCTGGTCCTTCATATTATACCGGGATGTGAATTCCGCTTAAGGTACTGTAGGTTTGGTAAGCATTGAAGCCACAAGGAAGGATGTGCCTTTTAGGTGGGAGGAGAGATAAACTGAGCAGCCTTTGGACAAGAAGAGTTATGGGGTGCAAAGAGGAGAATTAGAGCCCGTTCATCATCTGTCATCCAAAAAGAAGCCAACTCTCAGCCCACGAACAAAAGCAGCTGGTTGCAGCTAAGAGGCTTACAGGAACCACATTCAGATCAATCACAAAAAGAGATGCACAAATTATGAACTATTGCAAATACACAAAAACACCACTCTGCGGATAGAAACACTTGCTAGTGAGCAGGTAGATCTTTTTAAACCTCATTTACAGTAAAGTCAGCCAGGAAATTATAACATTTTGAAAATGCCATTATTATTAGCACTACTAGTAATACTACCATTATTATTTCTACTTCTCTTAATATAATGCTTCTACGGAATGAAGGTGGGAAGTGGCCAGGGTTACTAAAGCTTTCTGTGTGTCTGGAGAATTTTGGTCCATCTACCACTGATAGGTCTCTGTTCCAGGGCTCAGCCCCTGTTCAAGAAGTTCTAAGAAACTCTTTGCTGACTTGATTGTGTAGGAAAAGCACACAGCTGCTTCCAATCTTTTCTGTGAAAACTGTATCTCCAGAAACACAAGAAGTCCACCGATCGCAGGAGATGGGAGGCTATGAGCTGTGCCCTTTGCAAGCCAGCGCAGGTTAGCCATTTCCCCCCAGGATGGCAGACTGCTTATCCTAGGATTGCAAGATGGGCTCTCTTCACAGCATTCATCCACCCCTCCCCGTAAGCAGCTTGGATCCTCTGCAGCACACCAAGGAAAAATGAATGACTGTACACAACAGGGTCAGCAAAATGACAACAGCCCAGAAACTGAATATTAGAAGGAGATTTCAAAGAGGAGGAAGGCAGGGAGAAGATGGAGAGGCAAGGGTTAACTTTCAATGTCCCAGTTATTATCAGTTTAAATCACTTTTTGGTTCTTATTCAAATTCATTTCCCTCTCTCTCTTTTGTTTAGGGTATAATCCAGTTTGGACAAACAGGAAGTGATATCATCTTTCCTGCCTGCAAAAGAAACCCACGTTGGATTGACACTGAGCTTTTCATCAGTACTGCACTACCCAGCATTTGACAGGATCATTGTTTATTTGTTTGTTTATAAAATTTATTTGCGGTCCATCTCTTTTCCAATGACATTTTTAATGGGCTTTTTTGGATGGTATTTGCTTTCTTATTCAACAAACCTTTAGCAGACCAGTGTCCAACACACACATTGGCCATTTCCCCCATTATTTATTTATTTATTTATTTGTATTAGGATCCTGAAATAGGCAAAATGAGTTTGTATATCAAGCCTGGTCCTTTCTTTTTTTTCTTGCACACATTAAATGCATTTCATGTGGATGGAAAGTCACTGAACAACAGTGCATGACTATCAGAGAGGACAGGTATTAATTAAGGTGAATCTCTTGGGGAAGGTTTTTTTCTTGGTCTCCCCCCCCAAAAAAAACAAACAAACAAAAAAACCCATAGGAGAAGAGGAGAAGGAGGCCATGCCTACTGCTAGAGTTTGTTTTGAGGAGAAAATCCACTATTTATTCCTCTGTTTCAGAACAAGAAATCATTGAATATTCCCATTAGTAAGAATATCATCCTGCCTATGTTATGCACTCTGCCTAATTCTACAGGGAAGCCACAGGAAAAAAAGTCAGAAGTCTGGAATAAACCACTGCTACGAGTTATGGTTATGACAATACTATTTATTTATTAGTTTGGCAAAGCAGAATATTGAGGAAGAAGCAACAGCAGGGGAAGAGCCTGGGAAATTGTGCCAGGCACTATATGTGTGAGCGAGGGGTCCCAGGACCCTCCTGGAGGTAGATCGGAAAGGTGGCAGACAACTACAGGACGAGAAATCCAAGTACTGCACCTTCGGGACTCGGCATTGTGTTCAGCGGAGTTTCTTTGGGATTAGAGGGTTCTTTGCCTTGGTGGGGGGAAAAAGAGGCACTCCCATCTCCCTGATAGGTCAGGAAGGACAACTCTAAAGCCTTTGTTTTCTTTCTGCTGACAAACGGATGTAAAATAACAGGCTGGCATCGGCCACCGCAGGTCACTGCAGCCAGGCTGCTGTGTGTCAGAATTCAAACTGCTCCATCCATCAATGGCAGGCCAAAAATTAACGTGCCTTGGAAACTCTGCAGCAAGACAGTAACAACCCAATTGAAAGCCTGACCTTCGAAGAATGGAGTAAGATGGAAAAATTATTCCATGCGCTGCACCAAAGCTGACATTAGAAAGGATTTTATACATACTCATGCAGATGCCACCTCCCCCTCGCATGCAATTCAACCGCTGGGCTTATTTGTTTGTTTGTGTATTTATTTAGAGAATGTATGTGGCCTCCCACTCACTTTCAGTGACTCTAAGCGGCTTGAAGGATATGGACATTTGAAACAGCGTGCAAAATGCAAGACTTCAAATGTTTTCCTTGTTACATTCTTACACATATTTGCATTTTGTACTTGTAATTAGCATGCCAAAACTGATGACTGGGATGCGGAAAGGCTGCACCCAGCAATGCAGAGACTGCTCCACTGCTACATACAGTGGGGCCATTGCCCAGGCCCCTGTGAGCCCATAAGCTCAAGAATCACCCCCACCTATGTGTCCAGAGATGCTCCATCATCCAGGTCATGGGGGTTCCAAAGGTGCTTTTCAAAAGGCAGCTGGACTTCCTTGGGTTTTCTCCTTGAAAACATTTAGCTTCTCATCCAAGAAGTTTCTTCAGAAGTAAAATGTTTTCAAAGAAAAAGAAGAACAAGAAAGTCCAGTTGCCTTTTGAAAAGGACTTGTGGGACATCACCTCCTAAGGGTCTCTGGACTGCAGCGTTCCTAATGTACTAATTAGTAAGGCATCCCCAAAAAAATACATGATGGTGTAATTCAGTTGCAAAGTGGAGGAGTGAGCCCACAGCAGAATAGATGCTGGAAAGAGACAGCCAGTAAAGACCAGTGATGAACTTGTGAATAGTTCAGATCTTTGCTCTCACCCTGCTTCTGTTTCCTGGGCATCATTGCAAATGAAAATGAACAATTTCATACTCTGAAGAACGGATTATTCTGTTATTCTGTTAGGCAGCCAGGAACACAAACTGTTTAGAGTAGATCACATATGGCAGATAAACTGAGAGAGTAGCTTCCTATGAACCTCCAGGAGTTTCTTCCTGCCTTCTATTGGTTCACCTGAGGAAGAGACTGGCTGGGGAGAGGCCTTAGCCCAAGGAAGGAAAAACATTTGGCAGCAGAAGAGTTTCATCCACAAACATGTGGGCATGTCCTGTAGCCTGTTCCTTGACCCTCTCACAGCCCAAACCCCGATTGATGCAGAATCTCCTTCCAGTCCTGGATCCACATGGTATGGGGATGATCACCATGATCCACAACAGATGCTGCCAGGTTCCTGCCGAGAGCTGGATCCCACCCCCCATTCTATAAAGCCAGTGGGAGGAGATCTACCCCACCCCATGGTACTTTTGGCTTCCTTTCTTAATGGAAAAAGCTATCTTAGCACATCATTTCTATATGAGACAAGCTATACACACACTATTTTACATGAAATCTTTATATCCTATTTTTTTCCTGAAGACTGAGTGAATCAATCAAAATAACTGAAAGCTCATTTAATAAAAATAAAGGAATGCAAATGAATCAGAAACCTAAAACATTAGATTGATGGGCATATCTTGGTTGCTGTAATTATTAAAGGTGTATCATTTTCTAAACTCTCATTGCATTAAATGGGTGATGTACATTTACTGAAAGTAATTAGCATCTTAGTGACAATGAATTGATTGACTGAACGTCTCTCCACATAATAAAGTGCTGCTGCATTTGCATCTGGAAAGACAGACAGATGAAACCTTCTGCTGGTTGATGCTCTGGATTATCCCCAAAATTTCATGGAGAATTTTAGCAACAGCAAACCCCACCTGAGTCCCCTAACCACCCATGTCTAGACTGTTCCATTGTCTCTTCCTCTTCTCACATTAATTAATCCAGGACACTAGCTGTTCAACCCTTCCTCTTCCTGCCTGGAGCACGGATGGAGAAGACCTTCCTTAAAACTCTGAAGCAAAATGGCATTCATGCAACTTCCCATGAGGAAAGTGATGTATTTTGGAGAAGCTCTAGGAGAGGTGCTCAGGATATTTTGGCATCTGATGTAAGATGAAAGCCAAAAGCACAAGGATGCAATTGGTTCATCTAGAAAGGACACATTGTCTTGGTTCTTCCATAAGCATGTTTTGAAGGTCACACCCACAGAAATTCCAGGTAGGGTCTACAAGAGCCACTGTAAAGCTCCAATTCCAGCTTTGGCCCCACCATTTGTTTCCCATCCCATTCGACTGTTTCACTTCACTTTTTAAAAGCCGCTCTGAGCCTTAATGCCAAGATCTGCTGCTCCTTTCAAGTTAGTAGTCTTTCTCTGAATTAAATGGCAAAATGTTTTCATAGACGGGCTTTCTAGAAAAAAATGGGAAGGTTGGGAAGGATCTTGTCATATGGGAGAGTCCTGAACTTTGGTGCTCTGCTGTCTAGACTGGGGCACCTTTTGCATTTACAAAAAAAGAAGAAGCAGCTTTCCATACAATTATAGCTGAAACCACTTTCCGTTTTCCTCCTCAACTCCCTGAGGAAGAAGTGGGGACCTCATGTCAAAAGCCATCACTTTAGAACAATAAATAAATAAATCAACCAAAACCTTCCTGGGTTGGCCAACTGTAGCATAAGTAATTCAAGAGGCTGCGAGATGCCAGATAAATCTGATTACTGTAAAAGACAGGGATAAGCCTGCCTTCCTCTGAGAATTCAGAGAAAACAAAACAGCCCTTGGCTTCTCATTCAAGGCAAAAAACCACAGGCCCCTCCATCAATTCAAACCCCAATCGCTTATGGCCCCCATCCCAGGCCTTCCTGTTCCTCAGAGACCCCATGAGCTGAAAGGGTCTACAGCAGGATTCCCACGGGTCAGCCACAGCACAGATGGGGGTTGCAAATAAAGCTATGCAGGCTCCAAGAGCAACCCAGAAGTTCTGGATGTGGAAGAGGCCACCCTGACCTCCCCCCACTCTTGAGGAGGGTTGAAGAGTACAGTGCAGGAATGGGCAAGGTGGGACCAGCTGCTCTAAGATAGCCAAGTGGCTAACCTTACAAGGAATGTTACTGCCACTAAATATAAGAACTCGTTCTGATGAAAACTGAGATTGCAGAAGCCAGGTTTCTAACTTCTTCTCTCTTCCCTCAAATGGGAATTCATTAATAAAGCAACTTTGAAAAATGATTATGAGGAAATAATGTCACAATTGCAAATAATACTTGGTATTATTTGTTCTGTGAGATGTATGCTCTGATTTAACCAACAATTGAAAATAATGGACATCTCCTCCCAGCTGGTGTACTAAATCATAATTTCACTATAGTGTCAGCATTCCAAGTAACACACTCATAGTTGCCATATAGTTTTTAATTTTGCATCAAAACAGAACAGAGATATTTATGAAAACTGTTATTGCTTAGCAACAATCAATTCGTTAAAACAGTATTTCAAAAGACCAACTGTTTGTAGATTGGCTATAAACAGATGTGAACATCAGCATTTTGGGTTCCCCACCAAGCAAATCTGCTGAGCCTCATGAAATCTTGCATCAGGTTAGCTTAGTTGCTGTCTTTGCAGCTCAAGGAACTGTCAGGTTCCGGATTAGCAGGGGAAAAGAAAACCCCAGCCAACAGTATGGAGCTTGTTGTAGAGATTTTACCTTCCCCACTCCGGCACATTCCAACCATCACCCAGTGCAGTTTCAGTGCAATATTGTCAGCTCTAAACTATTTTTCAGGGTTGAAAAAAATATAAAAATAAAATCATCTACTGTATTTTAAAATGCATATGTCCTTCAAATGAAAAGCATAAATTAATTTGAAGCAGAGCAACTAATAAAGCATAATTCAAATATTTTTAAAATGGTTCTTCTTAAAAGCCAAATAAGTTAGTGAGGAAGAAGCAGAACTCTGTGGACAGATCCAAGTCAGCAAATATTTTAATTTAGCTCCATCTATTCTGGATCACTCATAATTCAGGTCTAATATTTTGCCTCCTGTTTATTAAATTCTATTTACTA